ACATTTTCGCAAAGATGCTTTCTGAGTTTGGCATTGGTTCTGAATCAAATGCTGTAACGTTATTTAGTCTTCTGAAGTCCACGCAGAACCTGTTTGATCCATCCTTCTTCTGTACAAGGACTACAGGTGCGCAATAAGGTGAAGATGATGGTTCTATGACTTTTAGCTGAAGCATCTTCTCGACTTCTTCTTTAATTGTCTTCTCTGTATGGAATGGAAGAGGATATTGCTTTCCCCGAACTGGTTCTTTTGTTGTTAGCTCAATTTTGTGTTCTACCAAACCTGTAGTGCCAGGTTTATCAGTTAAAACATTCTGGAATGATTCCAATAGGTTCCATACCATCAGCTATTGGTCTGGCTTAATCTTATTTGATACGTTAATGTCCTTGTAAGTTTCTGTTTGTACTGAAAGAGGTAATGAAATTGACATTTCGTTGTTATCCATGTTCCCCTCATCAATCAATGAAACAGAGCAAAGTGATAAAACTCCATAGTGTTCGTCATCTCTGTCAACGTACTTCTTTAACAAGTTTACGTGTAGGGTTTTAATCTTTCCATCAACGTCAACTTTGTAGTCCATCTCTCCAAACTTCTCTACAATCTTATAGGGTCCTTTCCATTGCATAAGGAGTTTATTTGCTTTGGTTGGTAACAGTATCAATTCTCTGTCTCCAACTTTCATCTGTCTAGCTCTTGTTTTCTTATTGTAGTATTTTCGCTGTTTCCTCTGGGCTTTCTGTAACTGTTCATGAGCTATCTTACAGGTGTCTTTCAATCTTTCTCTAAGGTCAATCACATATTCGTAGGTGGATTTTACTTCTTCATCTGGTATATCTTCTGTCCACAATTCTTTCAGTATTTCCATTGGTCCTCGTACCTTGTGTCCATATAAGAGTTCAAAAGTGAAAAACCCAAACTGTCTTGTGGTACCTCTCTTTAGGCGAATAATAGAGCATTCAAATATTTGTCCCAATCTTTTGGTTTTTCCGTACACATCCGCTTTAGCATTTGCTTTAGAGTGCCATTGAATTTCTCCACAAACCCATTACACATTGGATGGTAAGGTGTTGTTGTAATTCTTTTCAAAGATAGTAAACGACTGACATCTTACATTACATCTGATGTGAATTGTGATCCTTGATCGGTTAACATTTCTCTTGGTACCCCAACACGACCAAATACATCAACTAAAGCTTCCGCAACACGTTCTGTCTCTATTCTAGATAATGATACTGCTTCAGGGTAACGAGTTGCATAGTCAATTATTGTCAAGATGTATTTGTTGCCTCTAGTGGTTCTTGGCTCTAGTGGTCCAACGATATCTACTGCAATACGCTGAAAGGGTTCAGAAATTACTGGCATCTGACCAAGTAGAACAGGAGGTATTCTTCCCTTTGGAATGGTTTTCTGACACACATCACAAGAATTGCAAAATCGTTTGATGTCTGCCTGCACACCTGGCCAATATAATTCTGATGTTACTCTGTCTGTGGTTTTCTTTATCCCTAGATGTCCTGCCATCAATGTTTCATGCGCAAGTTTCATAACCAAAGGTCGGTATTTGCTAGGTATGACCAGTTGCTGGAACGTTTTTCCATTGGACACCTTCGGACTGATGAAATCTCTGTACAGCATTCCATTCTGCTCGTATATCTTGGTTGTTCTACCATCTCTATACGTCTTCAAGGAGTTTTCTTGTGAAAATTTTCTTAACTTCTCCAGAGTTTGATCTGTTTGTTGTTCTTTCATAATTTCGCTTGGTGACACTTCTGTTAAAGCCTTGGGAACTCTTAGAGGTTTATCAGATGAAGGTTGTTTCTTTTACTGGCTTCGAGTTTGTACGGCAGTTGTTGTTCCATTTGACATAATCCATGATGTATCCGGATCCTTTGCTTTTCTTACTCCCTCGATATTTCCTAGAATCAAATCATAAGATGGATTGTCGAAACACCAGGCCATAACATTTCCTGAGAAGTAAGGTGTGTCAACATTTACTTCTGCGACATCTGCTTCAATCACATTACCATCTGCCAAAACACACTTTTGAATTTCCCCTGTCATCTGTTCTGGTTTAACTGGATCTCGTCGAATGACAGCACGACTGCAACCAGTGTCTCTAAGAACGTTCACTATTTTGTTTCCAATGCACCCTTTAACAATAGGCATTGTTACTTTACTAATTGTCAAAGATTCAGTAACTTGTGGTAAGTCCTCTTTGTGTATCACCGATGATCCTTGACCTTCTCGACTGTTTCCAAATCGTTGATTTCCCTGGTTTTTATCCAATTGTTTGAAGCTAGATTGTTGTTTTGCTGAATTTAGATTAGGATTTATGTTTTTTTTATATTAGTTTCACTGTCATCACTAAATCGAACTGATCGGTTTTGAAGTGTTTTTCTTGAATTACAATCAATCGCTTTGTGTCCAAATTTTCCACACACAAAACAACCTTTCTGCGAAGTAGATGGAGACTGCAGTTTATCCTTGAATTGAAATTGCCGCTCCTTTTGTTGTCTCTCACTCTGTAGTCTTCTGTCAAATCCTAATGGTTTTTGAGTTAGGAAAGAAGATTTACTTGCTCTGGCTTCCGCAAATTTATCAGCATACTGTGCCATTTCTAGGATTGTTGACGGACATCGCTCCTTTAGGAAAAGTGATGGTTTTTGAGAACAACATAATAAGAATTGCTCACGAAGAAACAAATCTTTCAGTTCATCATAGGATTTTGAAGTTTTGGAAAGTTCAATCCAGCGTTCCATATAATTGTTAAGTCTTGAGGAAAACTGTGAAAATATCTCACTACCATCAGGCTTTGCTGTTCGAAACTTTTTCCGAAAACCATCCTCTGTCATTTCAAGACGTTTGTAGAGAGCTTCTTTAAGTTCCTCGAAATTTAGTGCACTGTTCGGTGGAGTCTTGCGAAAACATCTAATGCCTTTCCTGTCAAGAGAGCACTAAGGTGAGATCGATCCCCAGTTATTGTAATTCCAACGTTGAGCTGTAGCATATCTCTCGAATATCTGGATATAAGCATCTATATTGTCTTTGGATTCGTCAAATGCTGGAAGCTTAGGACCTTTTACAGGTTGATGAGTTTCCGTCAAATGGGTAGAATTAAGTGTTGATTTTTGAGATCTTTCTAAAGCAAAAGTCTGGAATTGATGATCCATTTCAAGTTCCTGGATTTTTCGTTTGTGTTCAGAAAAGGCAAACGTTTCCTTTTTCTCCTCCATACCGAGCTGATGCTGACGTTCTTCACGTGCACGTTCACTGTTTTCCTTTTCCAGTGGAAGCTGAAATTCTCTTTCTTCACGTGCTTGTCTATCAGATCTTTCCTTTTCACGTTCATCACGCATCCTGGATTGTTCTTCCAGTATGAATTTTTGTAGCCCCTCGTCCTTCAGTCCCATCTTAGTACCAAGTTCCAAAAGTTTTTCCATTTCACCGACAGTAGACATTGTGACTTATACTAAAGAGAACCAGTATACCTTGTAAACAATCAACACTAAGTGTCTTAGCTCCTCTCTTATTTACTTCTATCTAAGATACTAACCTCTAAACAATAAATGGGTGAACCATACTCTTACTTACAATTTAGTATAACATCAGCCATCTTTCCTGGGACTAACTACTACCTATAACCTAACAATTTGATTCAATTTTGAAACTTTAAATTTAACTTGGCTAACCTTCACAATTGGAACAATCTTAACTGATTTGGAGAAAGACAGGTTCTCAACTACCGCTTCCACCAAATGTAACGTGGTTGAGCCAGGCCATCTCCAAATAACACTCAAGACAGTTCCAGTTAACGAAATTTATTTACTAAATGAAAGAAAAATATATTTACATAATCACACTAACATTCACACGCACTTGTACACCTCACATATAATTGTACGGAAAAAAATCAATAAACCTTATAACTTGACAGACACACTGATAGACTAAATGTTTCTTTATAAAATTATATCTGATTATAATTTATATTGTTGCCCTGTAAAGTTCACTTGCACAGTTCTTTATATCTAGATTTGCCACAATCACGAGCTTTAAGTTCTAACTCCTTTCAGATCGACTTATCTGAATCTCAACACCAATAGTTTCAGCTTAGGTACATCAATCGTTCGATCGCTTCTGGGGCTGTAGTCCCGGAACTAATAGAAAGGCGATGATAAACCTCAGAAATCTTGACTGTATTTGTCCCATCTGGATCATAAGCTCACTCAGCTACGTCCTCGTACTTCACCAAAGTCATAACTCTACAATTTACAGGACTCATAAGTTTTCTAATAAGTCAACATAATATAATGGCAACACTTAATGATGTAATATTTAGATAAAGTATAAATGGAATATGTCTGTCTACATAATTCAACAAGTTATGATATAAAGCATACATTGTATTGCAAATTCAAAACAATATGGCGACCACTTCCGGCTGCCACTTCCGCCCAATACGTTTAAAGAATTCACCAAAAAATATCGAGCACAAAAATACACCTAAAGAAACACTCAAAAGTGACACAAATAAAGTCATACAATATTCTATCGACAGTAAATGAACTGGGTATTTATACCGATACCGATACACTTGACTGCTCACACAGATAAGTTAGACAAGTGAATGTAAGCCAAGGTTACATGTATATTTAGGTCACTCGAAAAACAAGAATACTTACAAAATACACGCTAAGAATAAATTCAAAAATACAAAATATACATACCACGGTCTGCTCTCCGTGCCTTTTGTTACTACATAGGTTCTGTACGTTGCATACTGACCATATACTGCCCCTGCAGTAAACTCGACTGCCCTCTAATAAACGTGTTACTCACACGACAGCTCATCCGGAAATGTCTCAGCCAATTTAATCACGTGACTTTTGCAACGACAAAGAACTATGGGAAATCATTGTTACAGGCCGTAAAGCTAACCTGATACAGAAGTGATTGTCACAATCTGGGAATAAGATTTTGAAAAAAAAATATTTTTACAGAATCATCTGTCCGAGAACCACCTTTAACGCTAGCCAAAAAATTATTAGCGGCAGGGAGCTCTGTTGAAGAAGTAAACAACGCAGGGAAAACGCCATTGCTCATTGCACTTAGAACATATTATCGCTGTCCTCAAAGACAAACAAGAAGAACGGACCTAATTAAATGTCTCCTCGACAATGGAGCTGACATCAATGTTCAGTTTCCTAATAAAAAGAAATCAACATTACTCTATGCTATCGAGTCCCATGACATAGAGATGACAAAAGTAATGTTAAACGCTGGGTACAACATCAACAAAAAGGAGGCTGATGGAGAATTGCCTATCTTTCATTGTTTCCCATTAGGTATATTATTCCGTTTTTGTTTCATGTTATTAAACTCTAATATTATTTTACTTATTTTGAATCACTTTTTACAATTAATATTATACGTACAAAATAAGCAATTCCTACAATTTATTTACCTAATAATTAATAATTGAATACCGGAGTATTCAAACAATTGTCCAAAACAGTTTAATTTCATTTTACAGACAAACCCGAGAAAAGGGAGCTTTTAACTGTTATGTTGGAGACAGGAAATGTTTCAAAAAGCGTCGATAGTAAAGGAACCAGTCTCCTGGAACGCGTTTTTCTGGATTTAGTCACTGTTCCTCATGATGTGGGAGGTGTCTTTTACAATAGTGGCGAAACAAAAAAGAAAAAAGTTAAAATAAACGCTGAAATAATACCAGTCTTTAGTCTATTGTTGAAGAAAAATGCTGATCCAAACACAGCACAAGAAGGTGAAGACTCGTTGCTCACGAAAGCTATAAGATTTGAAGCGGAAGAAATTGTCACCCTGCTTATTAAAGCTGGAGCTAGCATAACGCATATAGGAGAAAATAAAAACACACCACTGGATGTGTGTTGCAGGTTGTCAAAGAGAAAAACCATGAAAGGATCCCAGGAGAAAAGTAAGTGACTCAAAGTTTTTTTTCACAAACAACCGATGCCAATTTTCAAGAACAAAGAGGATGCATACATACAGATGTTGCAATGACATTATGAGCACAACATGTTCAGAAAAATTGACGGACAACTTCTTTTCAGAGCTATCTTAATTAACATTGATGTTTTAAGTATGGTTAAAGATCGTCTTTAAGTCATCCTAAAGTATCATTAAACTAGGTCCTCAAGATGACGTCTACATAGCTGCAATATTTCAGGCCCTATGAAGCAATCTGTAGGCGAGTATTTTATCCGTAGGTCTTTAATGCCAAAAATCACCCTTAAGCTACTTATAACAGCCTTTACACCATGTTTGAACCATTTTTAGTATTCTTTATTCTAGGTTAATTATTAATAAACGTGTCATCTTTTTTGTCGAATTTACACATTTAAAAACTTTCGCATGAACGTCTGTAGTCTTTAAATGGACGTTTAGATATATCGCTGACTTTTATCAATTAATAGTTGTCATATTCATTCCTATTTTGAATCGATATACTAGTATATCCCTTCAAAGTCAAAATAAAACACACCATAAATGACAATGACTTTGTAACAATCTTTATTTCAAATGTGTATGTTGACCTTTGCTTTCCTCAAATGTCTATCAATACATTCTATAATGTATTAAATCAATTTTATGAGGAAGCATATCATTCGAAAATGTTTATACAAAGATATCAAGAGTCTCTTTTAAAAAAGTCTATATTTTGTTATTTCTTAATACAATGACGCTGTTAGTAAAAAATATATATATGGCACGCCAAATTCACAAAAATGAGATAAACCTAGTTTCACAATTGATAAACTAGGTTTATCGACTGTAAACTATAGTTTACAAACCGTAAACTATAGTTAACGATTCGTTAAGTATAGTTAACGATTCGTTAAGTATAGTTTTCATCTGTAAAACTATATTTAATGGTTGTTAACTATAGTTTACAACTGATAATCTAAGTTTATATGTCAGAAATAAAGCAAACAATAGATTTTGTTGATAAACATAGATTCACGTTTGTAAACTATAATTTACAATCGTAAACTATAGTTAAGAGTTATTAATCATAGTTAACAAATCGTGAAACTGTATTTATCAGATAATCTATGTTTTGCAATCGCAAATGATTGTTTTCATTGTTAAGTATAGTTTACGGTTGTGAAACATAGATTATCGCGTTAACTATGGTTTACAGATGTAAAATATAGATTAACGTTGTTAACTTTAGTTTACAGTCCGTAAACTATAGTTTACAACCGATAAACCTAGTTTATCGACTGTGAAACTATGTTTTGCTCATTTATGTGAATTTGAGTTTTTAAAAAAAGATGCGAACTGTCTAAAGACGATGAAACCCGCACGTGAATGTTTAGAATTGCCTCTTTATATAATTTTGACTGCACTGATGCCCATCGGTAGCTAGCTTTTATAATCTTTGAGAGTTTTTCATATAAAAACCGTGACTAAACCTTAATACATGTATACGTTTTTCGAGCCTTAAGCGATTCACTTACGATAAAGCAAAGGTCTGTGAATCCAAATCACATTACTAGACTAAGCTGGTAAATGATAAATTGAATTGATTGATTGGTGTTTTACGTCCCCTTCGAGAATTTATCACTCAAGTTGAGACAGCACCATACACCAGTGAGGGCTTCAAATTTTAACCTTTACATGACACTCAGGTTCATTCATTAGAAAAGGATCTTTATCGTGCCAACGCCTGCCGTGACACACGGCCTTGGTTTTAAGGTATCATCAGAAGGACCGCAAATGTATTTCACTTTAAATGCCGAGTGCATGGCGAAGGAACAGATGCTACCCATTTTTATCGACTTATGTCAGTAGCGGCGAAAATTCAAACTCATGACCTCCCGATCACGAAGCAGCACTTCAACCGACTGAGCTACCGTGAACAGTCAAATAGCAAAAGAATAATCTTTTTTTTCTTAGGAACTCAATGCACGGCAGACAGCGTCATTGATTCCTAATGCTAATAGCGGCTGAATGTAACCCAAAAAAAGTAAAAAGTAAACGCCCAGAAATCTAAATGCCAGCACAGTAACTGAAAAATAAAAAAAGGGTTGGGCAAAAACAAAAAGTGTTTTCATAGTTTTTTTGTAAATTATTTAAAATAAATCGTTTTTTTCAGTTTATAGGTTGAAAGAGGAAGGTTTGAGGATATTAAACATTTTATTTGACAACAATTTACCCTTGGATGCTCCAAACGCGAAAGGAAAATACCCATTAGAAGTTTTAATGCTTTTTGACAACACCGAGGCTGAAATTCAAACAATGTTGTCTAAGGGTGCAGATCCAAACAAATATGACGTCAATGAAGAATGCCCACTGGTCAACTCAGTTTATGGAAATCCTTCAGTAACGTTGGCCTTATTAAAAGCCGGAGCCGATGCACAGACGACAGCAACAGATGGGAGAAGTGTATACGATTTGTTTACTGGTTTGTTCTGTAGAAACTTTGTTGTAAATAGTAATACATTTGTAATATATTTATCCTCCTGTTTGATTTAATATAATTAGATTTGATAAATGTAAGTTTGTTACAAATGCTTAATTTTATTAACCGCACGAAAAAGCAGAGTTTAGAATGTTATGTTATACTGGTGTGTTGTTACTTTGCAGAAAGAGCCTTTTATGATGACAATTTGTCTTGTCTTGGTGAGTATAATGATTTATCCTTTTGTAATGGACTTCCATCTTTAGATTTTCATCATAGTTTTAATCAATCAATGTTTCGGTTAATATGTCTCCTCTGAAGTAAATACTGAGTACATGTACTATGTGATGAGCAGAATTTTTTTTAAATATTTGAAGTTGTTTATTAAAGTCTGTCTAAATTGTACGGATATTATTTCTGGTGTATCATGAATCAGATAGGTTTTTTTATATTACAATTGATTCAAAGCTAAATATTCTAAGCAAAATGGCATTTTGATCGTAACAACCGAGCGGTTTTCGTGCAAGATTTCCTTAATTATTTTGTGTGGCATGTTCTAATGCGCTTTTAAAAATGTTTCTTTAAGATGAAAGATTTGCAGCGGAAATTCAAATGAGAGCTCTCGTGAGAAACCAAACACCCCTTGTTAAAATAGAAGACATCTGCAATACCCTCACCATAGGAAAGAAAATAAAACCGTTTTTAGGACAACTTCAAGTAAGGTGCTTTATTATAAAGGCATTTATACATGTCCAATCTTATAAAAATGGAACTATTTGTGTGTATGTACTTGAGAAGAAAGCTTTACTCTTTATCCAATGTACGGAAGCGTATTAGTGCCACTTGCACACTTTACTTTTTTTTTAATTTTGACACTTTAATCTGTAAATTTTACACTTTAATCTGTAAATTTTACACTTTAATCTGTAAATTTTACACTTTAAAGTGTAAATTTTACACATTAATCTGTAAAATTTACACTTTAAAGTGTAAATTTCATACTTTAATCTGTAAATTTCATACTTTAATCTGTAAATTTTACACTTTAATCTGTAAATTTTACACCTTAATCTGTAAATTTTACACTTTAATCTGTAAATTTTATACTTTAATCTGTAAATTTTACACTTTAAAGTGTAAATTTTACTGATTAACGTGTAAAATTTACACTTTAAAGTGTAAATTTTACACATTAATCTGTAATTAATCTGTAAAATTAACACTTTAAAGTGTAAATTTTATACTTTAATCTGTAAATTTTACACTTAAAAGTGTAAATTTTACACTTTAAAGTGTAAATTTTACACTTTAATCTGTAAATTTTACACATTAATCTGTAAAATTTACACTCTAATCTGTAAATTTTACACTTTAATCTGTAAAATTTACACTTTAATCTGTAAATTTTACACTTTAATCTGTAATTACACTTTGATCTGTAAAATTTACAGATTAAAGTGTAAATTTTACACTTTAAAGTGTAAATTTTACACTTTAATCTGTAAATTTTACACTTTAATCTGTAAATTTTACACTTTAAAGTGTAAATTTTACACTTTAATTTGTAAAATTTACACTTTAAAGTGTAAAATTTACAGATTAAAGTATAAAATTTACAGATTAAAGTGTAAATTTTACACTTTAATCTGTAAATTTTACACTTTAAAGTGTAAAATTTACACTTTAATCTGTAAAATTTACACTTTAAAGTGTAAATTTTACAATTAATCTGTAAAATTTACACTTTAATCTGTAAATTTTACACTTTAATCTGTAAAATTTACACTTTATTTGTTTATTCACATAGTCAATTTAGCATCTTCACACATCCTCAGTAACACATTTTAAGCCAACAGACCATGTTTCGTGCATGATAAAATTTAATTCTGATGTTTTATATTAAAGTAAAACTTTTCTTTGAATATAAAGTGAAGAGCATATCAAACATACATGCACATATTCCCGATCACAGGTGCTTGAGGACCCCTCCCCCCAATATAGATTCCAGGGCCTGTTAGACTTTTTTCACATAAATAATATATGGATGACACAATTGTGATATAATCTATAAATCCTAACAATTTAGAAAATTTGCTTAAACTAACATTTTATTGGCTTACAAATGTGTTACTGAGGATGTGTGAAGATGCTAAATTGACTATGTGAATAAACAAATAAAGTGTAAATTTTACAGATTAAAGTGTAAAATTTACAGATTAAAGTGTTAATTTTACAGATTAATATGTAAAATTTACACTTTAAAGTGTAAAATTTACAGATTAAAGTGTAAAATTTACACTTTAATCTGTAAATTTTACAGATTAAAGTGTAAATTTTACAGATTAAAGTGTAAAATTTACACTTTAAAGTGTAAAATTTGCAGATTAAAGTGTAAATTTTACAGATTAATATGTAAAATTTACAGATTAAAGTATAAAATTTACAGATTAAAGTGTAAATTTTACACTTTAATCTGTAAATTTTACACTTTAAAGTGTAAAATTTACACTTTAATCTGTAAATTTTTTACTTTAATCTGTAAATTTTACAGATTAAAGTGTAAATTTTACAGATTAAAGTGTAAAATTTACACTTTAAAGTGTAAAATTTACAGATTAAAGTGTAAAATTTACACTTTAATCTGTAAATTTTATACTTTAATCTGTAAATTTTACAGATTAAAGTGTAAATTTTACAGATTAAAGTGTGAATTTTACAGATTAAAGTGTAAAATTTACAGATTAAAGTGTAAAATTTACACTTTAATCTGTAAATTTTACACTTTAATCTGTAAATTTTACAGATTAAAGTGTAAAATTTACAGATTAAAGTGTAAAATTTACAGATTAAAGTGTAAAATTTACAGATTAAAGTGTAGAATTCAGATTAAAGTGTAAATTTTACAGATTAAACTGTAAAATTTACAGATTAAAGTGTAAATTTTACAGATTAAAGTGTAAAATTTACAGATTAAAGTGTAAATTTTACAGATAAATGTGTAAAATTTACAGATTAAAGTGTAAAATTTACAGATTAAAGTGTAAATTTTACAGATTAAAGTGTAAAATTTACAGATTAAAGTGTAAATTTTACAGATTAAAGTGTAAAATTTACAGATTAAAGTGTACAAATTAAAAAAAAGTGGAGTGTTCAAGTGGCACTAATACGCTTCCGTACCAATGTGATGTAATGCCGGTGTTGTACACACTTCTCACAAAAGGGAGCCACCTCTAGAAGTCTTGCTTCAAAGTGAGTCTTACCCCTAGGGAAAATCATACGAAATAGCCATAACCCCCCCCCCCCCCCTGCAAAAATGTCAAAAGAATGTCAGTCTACCTAAGGTAGATGCCTCATTTTAGAGCCTTAATTCTAAAAACTTTCCCCAAAGTGATATTTTACCGTAGGAGAAAGCCCATTATAAGACCTTTCCCCCCTTAAAGTTTAGCTATAGGTGAACCATGTAGCAAACAATGAAAACTCTGAATTGGTAAACCTAATGGAAAAGAAAAGAAAGATACTTTTTAATACTTGAAATAAAAATATTTAAATAACAGTAGTGCTCAGACTGTTTTACTGACTTTTCTTGTACAAAATAATGATATGAAGTTTATTAAGATAACGAACATATTCAATTTCAAAAGTCCATTAAACAATTCAAATTTAGGAGCAAAGCAAAACAGGCTTCTTTTACAAAATTAATTATTGTAAGATGACAGATGTTTTCAGATAATGTTCAGAAACGAAAAAGTTTCGAATAAACAAGGAATTTTCACTAGAGAGCCGAACTTCCTTACTCTTGGGCCAGACGTCCGGGGAAAGTCTGACTATGCAGGAAGCCTCATTCAAAAGACAGTCAAAACTTCATCCTTAAAGCGATATGTGTGTGTTTAAGCGAATTTGAGGTGTATGTGAAGGAGGGTGAAGATAAGGAAGGGTATGTGTGAGGGTGTGTGTGTGTGTGTGTGTGTGAGGGAGGGTGTTTTTGTGTAATGATATTTTCCTCATATACACATGTATTCAAAATATTCTAGAAAACGCCAGCGATTAAAGTATCTGGAAAATCAATGCTTGTCAAATTTGGAGATAGTTTTTCCTGCTGGAAAACAGTGCGATGGCTTGAACAAGTAATACATGTTTTTTTTTCTCAATTACAATAATTATTTTGTTTTAAATTGATTGACTGATTTTCTGATAAACAAACTCCAATAAGCGAGTGATCTACCTCAGGTCCTTTCAAAGATTTTGAATATTTGTAAATAAAGTCGTTGTTAACTGTCTAGAAAAAATAAATGACCGATCACTTCTCTAAAATGTTATTTAGTAGCTAAATAAAAAGCATCAAAGACATATACATGTATATACTTTTCCTTAATTGGTTGTACATGTAATAATCATACTCTATATTCATTGAGGCAAGAATTTTTTGCCAAAAATGTATTATTTCTTATCCTTTTCAGTTAGTAAAGAAAGGTGAAGTACGGAATTTGAAAGCCAAAGACGATCAAATTTGTATGTACATCTAAGATGCATTTCTTTAAATTTAAGAATGTACAAAATCCATTTTTAGCTTGTTTTAATCGCTCAGGTGACCTATAGCTATCCGCTTTTGCCCTTGTTGTACGACGTGCGTCCTGTTGACATTTGAAAATTTTGGGTTTTTCTCTGCAACTGCTGAACCAAATTCAACTAATTATGGCATGGAACATTAATGAAAGAAGGGAAATAACAACAAATTTTAATTAAATAGTCCCTCCGTAACTACACTTTTTATTATGTTTAATACAAAAAAATAGAGCTTTGACATTGTAAATGGTCAGGTAGATGTTTAAATAAATATATAAATTAAAATGTGGAAATATGATTGATAACAGTATACCAAAATTCTTTAAGACTAAAATAGATCAGTGCGAAGATAAATAATATGTGTCAATTAATTATGCTCTAGAACAATTTGAGTTTGGGTATTTTCAGTCGCTTGGATTCATCTGCTTCTTTTTTAATAATAAATCGCGTTTAAATGTTTTAACTCGAACATTAGCCAATTGTATGTAGTTTAATTAGTATTAACATAATATGTCCAAAAAAATTCATTATAACTTCATAATAAATTAATTTTCCTAGGGTAAAATATTTTTAATCCATTTTGTTATATAATTGTATCTCAATAGAATACATCTTCAAGTTAAACTATATTAGTTACTTAAGGAGGGCTTCTTGTCTGGTTTCTGTCTAGATGAATATATTTCATTCAAAGTATATTTACTAATGGGTCTTTTAAATTAAAATGTAGGAGAATACGCGGGTTTCGAGATTGTAACTCTCCTACGATAGAGGCGCAAAAAGTATCATTTCAGCATGGAGGTGGGACAGGTTGTTTATGCATACAAACGTGTATAAATAAATAAACGATGCTTAAAACTTTTAAAATTTATTTAATGTTATAGAAAGATAATAATGTTAAGGTAGGTCCCTACTCAGGAGATTTAATGGTTTAAATGGAATTTTTTCTTTTGGAATCATTAGAATAACACTTAATCTAAATAAAAAGCATAAAAAATAAATAACTTTTCATGTTATTTTTCAAATTAGAGTGCCTCGATGACGTATACCCCCTTCTTTCACGACACTATTTCATCCACGCTCAATATATGGCTCATATCAAAAGCAATATAAAAGCAAAATTACTTTCAAATGTAGTTGTTTATTCATTAATATGTAGGAAAGGCATAACCAGTCTCATATATGAATATTTATTTTATAATATAACTTTTTTTTGGAATATGATATCAATTTGGTGCTTTAAAATTTTTTACAATATCGTCATTTTTACACATTTTTTCATAAAGTAATGGATAAACACATTCTTTTTTCATTTAAAATATTAGATTAATATCTGTTGCAACTAAAAAGCCAAAAAAAATTAGTACTTTTCAGGCTTTTTATTTTTCTACACCTTCTAGATCATGTATACCCCCCTTGCCGATCAAACAAATTCAACTCAAAAATATCAGTAACAAACATATTTAAAAGAAAAATCACACTCAAATATCATTTTCATGCATTATAAAACATAACAAGTAAATTTGTTTTTAAAAAAATCTTTTAAATGCATTTTTTGACAACTCATCAATAATTAAAACATGTCCGTACATGTACAAATATGGCTAAACCAATGCAACATTCTTCTTTACAGGCATGCACTCAAATACAAACAATTTAATACTGCTTTTACTTCAGTAATACCAGCACAGGATATAGATAAAGTTATGTTACAACTTAAAACTTTATGCTTGCTGCTCAGTTCTACTAATGCACCCGTAAATCCCTTCTTCGTGTGATTACTGTCGGATCTTTTGCTCATATTGGGATCAACATTATCTTTTTCTCTTGCCATGGTAGTTGAGTCTTTGTCCATAATCACAGTATCTACCTAAAAAATTTAATATGTTGTACAACAAATAAAACTTCTATGTTTTGAATGATTTGATTGTACAATTAGTTTTTTAAAATTGTTGGATTGTTTTTGTTCTGGATGTACTTACCTTTCCCCCTACATTCTCGATCTTCTCCAACATCTCGCAGGCCATGGCAGGCTGAGGCTTCATAGCCTTCACCGATCCAGTTGAGTTCTTACAGCACTTGTGTTGCCTGGGAGGATTACCCTTTAATTTGGCAGCTGCACATACCATACTTTTTTTCCCCTGAAAAACGACTATTTTCTTCGATTTTTCTCCAACAGAGAGGCAAGTCCTGTAAAAATAAAGATATCTGTATTCCAATATATAAGTTAGACACCGTCATCACAGACCACTGCCAAAATGTACGATCCTCTCCCATTTTGGCAGTGGTTGAACAAGAAGAGAATATAAACTGGCAGCTCATTAAAATATTGACTAATACGCGTAAAGCATAGTCAGATGATGAACTTTGATGCATTCTTTCAATGCCCAATCATAGTGAATGGAATATTTTTTGTATACTGCTGATATCAATTGTTGATTTCAATTGCAATGGAAACAAAAATTGTAATTTACTGAATACGATGTTGCAATAGAGATAAATATTCAAGGTTACAAACTTTATGGTGATCAAGCAGCCACGAGTAGGAGAGAGCTATATGCGGACTTTGGACCATGTCTTGAGACAATGGTTAGACACAAGAGAGGGGGAATGTAAAACATTAATTATTCAAACATATTCATAAACTAAAAAAAAATGATTTCTCAAAAGCAGAGGACCACCATTGTCCATGTGACAATTAGTCTCTACAATGTATAGGTTTTGATACTTGGTACATTTACCTGTAAGACTATTATAAGCTCTCCAGGTACCCCTCTTCTGCCAAGCACCATCAGATATAAACGCCAGACTCCCTTCACTCTTAAACAATAAAATTTTTAATTAACGACATAATTTTTAAAAAAATAATTGCAAATGAAAATATAACTAGGTCATGTATTGCTAGAAAATGGCATACAACAATTACAATCTCATCTCCTCCTGCACACTTTCATTACAAGTTTCCCCTGTCATTTGTCCAAATTGTTGCCCGACCTCTCTTCCTCTATTCTTCAGAGTTATCTGAGAAACGCTGGGTATGTTTAAAGCAGCCAGGAGTGAATTTACATGTGTTTCACCAAATCGGCAAATCCTCCTTTTATTATTCCTGAAATGAGAAATTATAAACAAGTCAACACAGAAAGTGAATATATGACATAATTGTCCTTGTTTATTTTCTGTATGTTTGTGTGTGTATTATTAGGTACACTTGTTTGCATATGTATATTTGAGAATAAAGGTGCTTTTAACAAAAAAGCAAGTCATATTTATCATGTTTGTATACTGACTATTACTGTTCTTAAAATAAAAATAACCCACATGATCCAATTTGAATATGTGAATAAACCATGTAATGAAATTCAGATTACCTGCTGCTAGTTTGGTATTTACATCACATGCATTTCTGCCATTTGAAGTCTGGTGTTTGCTTCCTGTTGCCTCTTCAATACTAGCCCAAAGTCTGTAACTTTGCACTTGACAAGTAGTAGGGCTACATGTGCAAGGCCGAATTTTGAGTTCCCCTACACAATTTGACAATTGCAGTGGCTGTCCGCATAACTGACAACTGCTTAGACCATCCGCAAGAACCCCAAGCTCAACTACACGTCTGCCCACTCTCCACTGATTTATTTTCTCATCTTCCTAAACCGAATATGTCTTTTCTTCTCTAACAACATGAATATTCTCACCGTCACAGCCATAACTCTATGATAATGATAACTGTAATCTAAGTCACTTACTGGCACACCATTTGTTTCGTCACATGTTATAAATCTGTTTTGTTTTTCGATTGCTTCTTCCTTTATCTAATCCTTCAATTTTTATAACCAGAGAGTCTTTAACAAACCTGCCTTTAAACCCTGGCATCCCGGTAAACACGAACGTAATCTTAAAAGTGCCAACTGGAAATGCTGAGCGCTATATAATAACTAAACCGATAACGGTAATAACCCGATAGAACTTGTAAAGACGGATTTGGTTTTAACATTTCGTAGCGATAATCATATCCGGTAAATTGTGATGACGCGTTTGAGTAGGGACCAACCTTAAGTAGTGATGCATTTCATGATTTTATCAAGCTCAACTATGAATATTTACAAATCTACTATCAATTATAGGGTACTTGAAAAAAAAAACGTCGTGGTGTTTATAAAAAGTAAAAGATTTTCTTGATTGTAAAAACATTTTCTAAAGAGTTACAGGGTTTTATTAAGTTATAATAAGGAAAAAATCAATGTGTCATTTAGATTGCCGACATGCAATGATCAGATTCATGTTTACTGTATTTATTAGAGGTCCATATATCTCTTCCCTCGTCTGAAAAGTCTGACATGCACTGATTTTTCTTTTTTGTTCCGATTTTTTTGCTTTAAAAAATGACGCCTTTACTTCAATTCGGTTATTCTCGAGTTGAACAGTGCATCCTGACAATCATGTAGTTACGATAAACCAGTACAGTGTATATGGATGATGCGATATATTCAATATGAAAATATCTGTCCCACCTGTTTGTTTACGCGGCAACCAAACTCCCCTCCTCAACAAAAGAGCGCACCAAGGGAGATAATCTCGAAACTTGCGTTACTTTGTTTTTTACATTTCATTATTATAAAACTTGAAACAAGAATGGTAAACTGAGATAGAACCAAGCAGGGATAATATTTTTGGTGGAATGGCGGCGTATTGAAGTATCTCCAATTTTTTGTTTTTTTCAAAACTACTACTGAACAATGAATTTTGTTTCAAATTTTATATAATCAAATACTTAAAGAAATTTTAACATGTAACTCAAAGCATTTATTATGAATTAGAGTTTTAAAATATATGAAATAAGTATGATTTTCAAAACATATTACAAACTTGTTAGCTTTTGATAGCATCGAATTTGAGAACAGATATGAGCAGCAAAAAAAATCGGTTAAGAGTTTTTTTCGCCTTCAGTGAACTGTCAAAGCTTTTTTTATTTTCATATAATTTTGTGTCTTTATATAACTACTTCATCATATGTAAAAGTAAGAAAAATCTAAATATTATGACCTCCATATATGAAATAAGTATGATTTTTAAACAAATTACAAACTTGTTAGCTTTTGATAGCATCGAACCTTAGAACAGATATGAGCCCAAAAAATCGATTAAAAGGGTTGTTGTTTGTTTTTTTTCGTTCAGTTAATTGGCAAAACTTTTTTTATTTTCATAATTTTATAATTTTGTATCTTTACATAACTTCTCACCATATAGGTAAAAATAAGAAAAATTTAAATATGAAAAAAATAATATTCTAAGAAAAAATAGGAATTTTTGTTTATGTTAATTTGAAAATGTCATCTGAAACGTTCTTTAGGGTAGCACCATTTGATGCAAACAGAAAAATGATTTACTAGTAGTTTTTAAGTAAAAGAAGGTATCAGATTATTTGTAAAAGTAATTGTGTCTGCTTAATGTCATTGAAGTAGAATCTTGTATTAGGATACTCATAATAATTTTGTCTGTGGAACGGATCTATTTTTTTTTTATTTATTAAAATAAATATGACATATTTTTGTTGTAGATTGGAGGAATATTAAGCAGAAAGTGGACATTCGAAGGTAACTTATATACATAAAAGTTGTAGATAATGATTATAATTCTGTAAACATTTAATCAATACTTATCAAATTAAACAAATGTGACTTTATTTTTCCATCCATGTTCCATAAAATAGTGAATTCTTTTACAATAACAGCTTTCAGATAAATAAAATTAAGACAAATTTTATCAAAACCAACAAAGTCTGTTGGACTGAAAAAAATCTGGAAATCAATGATTAACGAATGTAACTATACCAGTTGCATTTGTTTCTCAGGTAATATATATGAGGGGTGATCAAAAAGTTCGCGAACTATCTCTATATCTACAAAACCACAATTCAGATTAGAATGAAATTCGTTACACACATATCCATACACAAGGTCTATAAATAGCATATGCTAAATAAAGTTTTTCTCCTTGCTTGTGACGTCACAATGTGAAAATGACGTCACTATGTAGGTCACTTGTGACGAAAAATGGTTGTCTCAGTCGAACTCGTTCAACAAACGACAGTACAATTTATTGTATATCTTAGAAATCCCTCTGCAGTATCATATAATAATTTGTACACAGTTTATCAAGATAAATGAGTTCCTATAAATTCAATTAATGATTGGATTGAGCGTTTTAGTGAAGGAAGGCAGATGGTTGAAAATGATACTTGTCATCTTGCCCCGTGAAAGCAAATTTGAAAAGATATGTGTTTTTAATTAAGCAATTTGCTATCAAAGACCTCCAATTTACACTTTGAAAAATATTTCAATATTTGAACAATAATATAATTACTAAGGACGTTCGATCCTGAGATTTTAAGCATATTTTGGTCATGTCCTTTATTTATAAAATTCTGCATCATTTTTAAGTTTTAACATTAAATCTGAATTCTACAGTGCAAATTTAACTATATTCAATGAAAAAACCGCGATTAAATTCCCTTCAACTAGAATTAAGCTAGGGACTACATTTTGTGGCGGAAGGTTTTTTAGACGAAAATGATCAGTTTTTTCCATTTTGAACTATAACAGTACTGTTAAGGAGGAACAGGACCTTTCGCTGAAAAAAAATCCTGTCAATGAATTTTTTTCATATTTTTTAAATTACTAATTTAATATGTACTTAACATTTTAAAACGGTCCTGTCATGGGATTTCTTGACTTATTTAAAAGATATCGCTCCACAAATACCGCCCTGTTTAGAGTTTCTATGGAGTTTAGATACTTTAAGTTTACGAGCCCATAGCAGAGTCCAATATGCGAATTTTTACGCACAAACGTTAAATATGATAGATAACACTATATACTCAAACATTTCAGAATATTCATGGTGTTTAAATTATCTGAAAGCAATTGTTTTAATTTTATATAGTATTTGGGTTGGATAATTTGTGCATTTTTCACGGCAGCTTCAACGACAAAAACCTCATTTGGAAAAAATTCTGTCAATAAATATTTCTAAATTTACGATTGAATGTCAGTCTTTCATCGTAATTATTTACTGCATAAATATCACTGGGTGAAGCTTACCTCAATATCGCACAGGACATCGTTGAATTAGACGTAAGCATGATAAAAACGCATCACGTTTGTATTTTCCGAGTGCGGGAAATCAATTGTGACGTCACACGAAAACATAATCATTCAAAATTATATAAATAGAGAGAATCTCTGCTACTAAACACGAAAAAATATCAATTTTAAAAAATCTGCTTCAGAAATTTATCACGATACATTGACTGTGACCTGTTTATGATGAAATAAAACTGATCACGACGGGTGTGTGTACTTGATCTCGCTGCACTTAGAATTCAAACACTACGTCTATGACGTCACTGACGTCAGACTGCAGGGTAAAGAGAAACAAATGTGTGGATTGGGCAACTTCACAATATCTAAATGATGGCAAGATCTTTAAAAAATTTTATTAATAATAATTTCTAAAATTAAATGTTTAAAAAACACTTAGAATTCAGAATAAATTACACAAGAACTGTTGATTTTAACAACGTTTAACATGTATATCATCACCGATCGCGATTATGACGTAATATGTCTTTTTAGTCATGTGACATGTGCCCTGTCTCCCCTTAATTTTGGATTCTTATTTTCCCATCCTGGTTGCACACAAATCTGTTTTTGCAGTGAAATGTGTTATATTGGCTCTGAAATATCTATCAAATTATTTCTTATGAATTCTATCAACAAAGTGTGACAAATATAGTAAATATTTTCTGAAAATCCGGGGTAAATTGAGTCAATTTTAACGTAAAATTGGCACTTTTTTGGTAATATCTGAAAATTTACATCATATACCCCAACTTGATTTGAAACTTTTTCTTAGTCACAATTTTTAAGTGTCTTTTTTTAAACAAACTTAGAGTTCATTTTGTTTCATGCTTTAATTGGATAAAAATATTGGAGGGAAAACGTCAAAAATTTAATTTTTAATTAAGACACAAATTTTAGTGCAAAAAGGTCATATTAAATGTATCGTAGCGCCAAAAGAAGCATATTGACCCCCATTTTTTGATTTGAATTTTAATTGAGCTATGTATGCAGAAACTAAAAATATACTTGGCAAAACATTTAAGACTTTAAATATCAGGATCGAACGTCGTTAAATACCTAAGATATCGTTTACTTTAGATTTTAAACATATTAGATATGATAAAAAGGAGGCACCCATTCTCTATCCACCTTGAATAAATGTCTCTCCCGAGACAGAAGATTTGTGTTTTAATGGTGGCTATGCTTATTTTTGGAAAGGATATTCTTATCCACCCATTCTGTTGCCAAGATTTGACCATTTCTGACAAATGAACTGTTCTTGTCATAAAATTTAACTCACATGGAAAGAAATTTAAAACTCAGAAAAATCTTTCAACTTTTGTGACAGAACGCTACGGAGGGGGGTCACGTGACCGCCAATATCACGTGATTCGCTCATGCGCAGAATGGTGGTTGATGTGCATTAAAATTGGAGAGCATTATTCAAAATATAATCAACATTGAAACCAAGTATTGTTTCTTTTATGTTATTCAATTAGTTTGCGAACTTTTTGATCACACCTCGTACTAGTAGAATAAAAAGAATTTATATCAGTGAAACAAGGTCTTTAGAAAGTAGAGTTCTGTTTGGTGGGTCACGATCGACGTAGAACTTTTTTGCTCCCTCAAATGTAAGGCGGTCTCTTGAGGATTGAAATTTGAATTTAAATTCATGCGGTATGGTAAATTTAATTTGTCCACCGATGAAGAGTCGTTTGCTACTTTAAAAATATTGTTAATTTGTTAAGTACGCAGGGCAGTAATTTAAAATAATCACGATGTTAAAGAGCTTTCGTGCACCGATGTACACCAATTTGCTTTCTCCATTTTAACATTATATTCTTATGTGTTAATATCGTGGAACATAAAATACAGAAACACTAAAATCTACCTTTTAGCATCACAAAAATATTAAATTACCTAAGAGAAGTTGACTTTCTGTTTTTAGTTCACCTGAGCCAAAGGCTCAAGTGAGCTTTTCTGATCAAAATTTGTCCGTTGTTTGTCGTCGTCGTCGTTGTCGTTGTTGTAAACTTTTCACATTTTCGACTTCTTTCCAAGAACCACTGGGCCAAGTTCAACCAAACTTGGCACAAAGTATCCTTAGGTGAAGGGGGTTCAAATTTGTCAAATGAAGGGCCACGCCCTTATTCAAGGGGAGATAATTAAGTAATAATGAAAATTTGATGGTATGTTTTAAAAATCTTCTTTTCAAGAACCACTGTGCCAGGAAAGATGAAACTTACAGGGAAGCATCCTCAGGTAGTGGAGATTCAAGTTTGTTCAAATCACGACCCCCGGGGTAGGGCGGGGCCACAATGGCCGATCAAAGTTTAACATAGAAATAAAAAGGAAAATTCTTTAAAAATCTTCTTCTCAAGAACCACTGTGCCAGGAAAGATGAAACTTAAAAGGAAGCATCTTCAGGTAGTGGAGATTCAAATTTAAATTTGTTTTACATAGAAATATATAGGAAAATTCATGACCCCCTGGGGTAGAAGATCCTCAGGTGGTGGCCACAATGGCCAAAGGCCGATCAAAGTTTTACATAGAAATATATAGGAAAATTCTTTAAAAATCTTCTTCTAATAATGAAACTTCTTCTCAGGTATGAACCACGGTGCATTACATGGAAATATATAGGAAAATTCTTTAAAAAGAACCACTGTGCCAGGAAAGATGAAACTTACAGAGAAGCATCCTCAGGTGGTGTAGATTCAATTTTATTCAAATCATGACCCCCGGGGGTAGGGCGGGGCCACAATGGCCGATCAAATTTTTACATAGAAATATATAGGAAAATTCTTTAAAAATCTTCTTCTCAAGAACCACTGTGCCAGGAAAGATGAAACTTACAGAGAAGCATCCTCAGGTAGTGGAGATTCAGGTATGTTCAAATCATGACTCCCTGGGGTAGGGCGGAGCCACAATGGCCGAACAAAGTTTTACATAGAAATATACAGGGAAATTCTTTTAAAATCTTCTTCTCAAGAATAGCAGAGGCATGAATGATCAGATTTATATGGAAGCATCCTCAGGTAGTGTAGATTCAGGTTTGTTCAAATCATGATCCCCCTGGGGGTAGGGCGGGGCTTCAATGGCCGATCAAAGTTTTACATAGAAATATATAAACAGATTTCTGCTTTTTTCCTAGGTACATTGCTCAGGTGAGCGATGTGGCCCATGGGCCTCTGGTTATCTGTCTACGCCTTCTTTTAGGGACAACCCTCGTACATGTATGTATGAAAATTAAGATTGCATTCATATTTTTTTACTTCCCCGGCTTGAAAAGTGAGAGGGTATATAGTGATCGGGATGTCCGTCCGTCTGTTGCTCTTTGGGATACCTATCTCTTATCTGCAAGTCCTCCTATACCTCTGAATAAAATTCTATAATACTTTCACAGATTCTTTATTACAAAATACCATTATGCACCTTTTATTTCACTTTCTGACCGGACACATATTTTGGATCTCCCAGAGCGAAACATGGACTTTGCCATTACAATCATATGGGAGGCTTGAGAGAGGATATAATTTTGTGAGTTCAGTGCTCACAGTACCTCTATTTTTTAATCATATTTTTTTTAATTTTGAACTCCTGTACTTTTTATCATCAAATTATAAGTTTTTGGTTAAAAATTGATGTGTTCAAAGAAATAAAATTATTTATAATCCTTTTCCAAAGTATTTCGATATTGGACTGGAAAGTTATGTTAAAGAATGTACAAAAATGTACGCTGAAAGGAAAAATGCATTTTCAATGGTCATATAAGTCTACTTTTAAAATTTCTCATATATAGACTAATGAGTGCTTTTTTTTTTCTTTTTTTTATAGAAATCGAGAAAAGGGTAAGGATAAAAATATTTATGTATATTCATTGCAAGTGTAACGGGATAGGAGAAAATGCAGCGGACCAGACCGGGATTCAAACCCGGGCCCCCTGTAACTCCGGTCAGGTGCTCTACCAACTGAGCTATCTGGCCACCGGGGATCGAACTCGGCTGACCGCCACACAAGCATCAGTTAGGACTATTGATCTGTTTTTAAAAAAGTCATGTTTTTAGATATAACAAGGGGAAATAATGGTTTGTTATACATGGCTATTTTTGTAACTTTAAGCAGAGATTCTAGGTGAAACGTGCAAAGCATATTTTTATGTCATATATGCATATGTAAGATATTTGATATATCATACTTTTCTTTTCACTTCGTAAATGTACAACTTTAAGCAGACTGATTATTTATTTAACTCTGTACAACTTACTGAACTGTTATACAACATATACGTAATGTTCACGACATAGAAATATGACGTTACATTTGCCCCGCAAGTACTTCATAGCGCGGTACAAGTTTATCTAAAGTTTAACGTGAATAATATAATGACCTAATATTTTAATGAGAAAACAACTTTTTTATCAATGATCTTTTATCATCAATTTCAAGGAAGAAGATGATAAGATTGACCTGAACTTGCTTTTAAAGTTCCAAAAAGGTTTTGATATAAATCTTTTATTTTCTTTCAAAATGAACATTATGTTGTAGAAGAGGATGATAAAGGACAATCAACCGCTTGTTGTGAAGTTATTAAGACCTTAATAGAAGCTAATGGAGTAGATGTTAACAGTAAAACATCCCCTGACCTACTTCCCCTTTGCGTAGCCGTGAGATTGGGCAGCCTCCCTTTGCTTAATTTTCTATTAGAAAAAAATGCAAATCCAAACCTTTTGGAAGCTATGGACGAAACACCTTTATCGCTTGCTCTCATTGAAGGTGATATGGACATTGTAAAAGCATTGGTGGAAGCCAAATCAAACGTAAATCATGTTGGTGTTCTCCCAGGTATAAGAGCTTATCATTTTTGATTATCATGTTTTATATTTATATTAGGCGAAACTTATTTAGGTCCATATGCATCTGCCTCCTTATTTTATATTCCTAAGGAAAAAAATACTTTATTCTCGCAAAACAACAACAAAAAAAACTTTCGCATTTCCTTTTTTTAACATGTTTAAGTAATGCAATAATGCAATACAAAGAAATACCTGTAAGATTTTGAAGATTCATTAAACTTTTCAATAAACATTTCACAGGAAGAAGTGCTGAACAGAAAGAATCCGTGCTGAGTAGGTTATTGGATGAAAAGGGATCTTGTGCAAGATTAGCCAAAAGAAGATTACTTATGAATTATCTCATCCAAAATGGCGCCAGTATAAATTTTGACAAAGAGGGTGTAGATTCACCTTTGATCAAAGCTGTACGACTCTTAGCCCTGGAGAAAACAGAACACCAAGACATGTCATCGGTAGATTTAGTACCCGAGCTGCTGAAACTTGGATCAGAAATAAACCATCGAGGGGAAAGTTTGTTTACTGCACTACATGTCTGTTGCCAGCAATTAAGTAATCATTTTAAATAACTGACTTATGAAATCTGTATAGAAGGAAAACAAGCCTAATATTCGAATCATTAATGTTCTATATGAAAACTCGGCCATGTATTCCTATCAATTTTTTATAACTTTTTTGTTATGTATATTAGCATTTCTAGTAGCAATGTAAAAAAAAAATCATTTTTATCTATCAACAGTGTCATGGGAACCTTTAATCAGGTCATACATAATTGTTTACTTTTTTTCGACTTTTCCACTAAAAAAAAATCAAAAGTCCAATCAAAGTTGGCAAAAATACAAGCATATAAAGTTTTCAGATAGAAGTGTTAGTTTTTCTGTAAATTTAAGCAATGAAACTTTTAGTCGCTTAAGGTAGAACCTATGTCGGAAAAGTCTTTGTCACAAGATTTTCAAACTTTTCGAAATGATAAATTAGTACTTGCTTATCAAACAGTTGAGGAAGCTCTAATCACTAACAGAAACAGCTTTTTGGACTTAAGGAAAAATATAACATATAAAGTTGTACATATTGAGACCTTTTTCATTCAATTTTAGCATAGGGTACCTGCCTTATTCCCACAGGAAAAATGTTCAAAGACAATGGACTATCTGTGAAGAGAAGTCACTGCTGTTAACTTATATTTTGAAAATTAATGAAAATGATGAATTATAATACTTATGTGTGGTCTTATATAACGGTAAAAATATTTTTATCTTTTACAAAGTGGGTAATTAACTGTAAATAACAATTTTAATGATCTTACTTCTAAGGACAGATCACTCTAATTGCATAAAACTACCCTATATGTAAAGCTTTTCAGTATGCGGTGTTTAGAGCTTCCATAAAAGCTCATGATATGTTTCCTTATTTTTAAATGTATTACATCCTGTGACACTTGGAAAGGTAATCAAATACTGCGACTACACATTTTCAGTTTTTTAGGGGTACTTGTCAAGATGAAAAATCACAAAAATACTTCTTCAAACATAGTCTTTTATAGACTTTATTAACTGAAATGTATTAAGCAATACTTCTCAATGATAATTTCTTTTTTTATTCAATTCACTTTAAAGATAAGTCCACATTGAAAAAAAAATAAGCAATTAAGCTCTATTTTTAGTCAATTATTTTTCAGAAGTCTTTATCACAACGTTTTCAATTTAAAATTTGATGAAGAACATACCCAAATGATTACAAAAAGTGATTAAAATCTATATCTTTCGGCTCCAATTGCCTAATGGGAAATATGTTATTTACCAATACTTATATTCTTGACCTTTTTACACTTACACGGGATTGAATTATTAGATGATTGTTTGGGATTACTTTCAGATTAAAAATCTTAACGTTTATCAAAAAGTACTTTTTTATTTCAAAAGATCATATTTGATAGAAAAACTGTAATCAAACATCAGCCATTAAAAATATACATGAATAAGTAACAAATATTTATGATAAAGAATGCAAATCATTTCATGATATATATATATCACAAAATGTACACATAATCTTCACCATGTACATCTTTGACTCATCAAGATGTATTACTATTTACTATTTAGTTGGCAACTTAAGATTTTTTTTTATAGGATTTTTGTATCCCTTTAAATAGTTACACATCATTCACATTATACCAATATGTTACATATACATTGTAATTTCATTACAGGAGATAGTATTGGATTTATCAACTTAATTAATGTAAAGATCTACTGATCATTTAGGCATGATTTTAAATTGAATTCTGTGAATTTCAAAATGCTCAATTTCAATTTTTGTTGAAGCTGTAAAGTACGGAAAAAGTGACGTTGAATTAACTATGACGTCATAATGGATCTAGCACAGGCTAAACATAATCACTAGTTATGATGTCATACGACGTAGGTTCTACGTTAAAAAAGACTGGGTATCATTACTATTAGCCAATCATCAATGAATTGGTACAGGTAAAGCAAAGCATTTCTGGTAAATGCTATATTGTTGTGTTGAAAAAGAAGAATGCGGTTTTATATCCTAATGTGTTTTTTTTTCTATGTTGCTTTTTTTAATTTGCTTCTAGGAGTTCCTCTTTGTAGTAATATTTTCATTGATGTGGATTCCACTGATTCCGATTCTCTTGAGGAGGATGAGGAACCTTTTCTTATTGAAGATGAAGGTGAAAATGAAAACATCGAGGAGGAGAAGGATTCTTTTGACACCATCTTTGATTTGCTGTTAAATTCGGAGGCTTCTGTTAATGTTCAAGCAAAATCTGGAGCAACACCAGTACACATTGCAGTCAAACGAAGACTATGTTTCCATATTCCAGAGATGCTAAATCGCAATTTTGAAGCAAACACTAAAGATGCGTCGGGTGTAACGTGTGTAATGCTTGCTGCTGAATGGGGCGATAAAAAGACTATTAAGGATCTTATTAAACGTGGAGCAGATATAAAGTTAGAAGATGAATGTGGCAATACTGCATTACACTACTTGTGTATGTATAGAAATTCTTGTTCTGTTTTTCTTTAACAGTAATCCTTTGTTTAAAAAAAATGAAAACTGCTTTAAAAATTATACATAATATTATTCTTTCAAATAATGAATTGGTGTGTAAAATTAAAAAAGTTAACATTTTGGGATTGTCATTACAGTTAAAGATTTGCAGAAATGCTAACTTTGAATTAACTGATAGTCAATATAACGATAATCAAGCAATCAAAAGTACAAGGACATAACGCAAAATGTAAAAATCTTGAAATCCTTATTGAAATCCTTATTACATTTTGCGTTAATATCAATTGATTATCTGTGATGCTCTAGATGCGAAAATGTAATAACATAAATGTTATAACCTCATTTCATTTTACATTGTTATTATATTTTGCAGTGAAATAGAGCAATAAGTAACAATACCAGCAGCCTATTATAGCTTGTTTATTTTTCAAAAAGTGTTTGGAACTGAGTGGAACCTGCTTAATATTTTTTTTAATATTCAAAACAGATTTTAAGAAAATCAGGAATTTTCAAGTAGTAAATACATATATTTTCAGCTAAATTATGAATACTCCGACATAACAACACAAACACTCTCCCAGCATTTCTCGTGTAGGAAAGATAAACCTCTTCCTCTTCACGAAGACACTTCTCAATAAATATTTAATACCATAAGCTCCTTAAAACTAACTGTGCATGGAGTGTTATCTGCATACGAGTTTCAAGATTGTCTGAAATCAGTGAAGAAAACAAGAATTGTTTGCGAAACATTTATGCACCCGTATGGCAGATTAAGGCAATGGTTGAAGTTCCTCTGATGCAAGTCAGTCAACTAAAATTAAGGTCAAAATTGCTGGTATCCAAAATAAGGTCTTTTCAAAAAGGAATATACATGTATCTGTGAAATATGAAAAATCTAAATACTTAACTGTTTAAAAGTTATGCCAAAGGTTCAAGTTTTTAAAAGTGGGTCAAAAAAAAACATCTGACTTTGGCGTCACCATCGCACTTTAAAGTCTAAAGGCCCTTTCACAATTGGTGCACGAGCACTTGACAACACTTTGCGATCGGAAAATTTTAGCTTCGCACGAGCTATTGCATACGTTTCACAATGTCTCGCATTCATTGCATGTGTTATAGTGGTCGCATCAAGTCTCCTCAAAATAGTCAACATACACACTGTTCAGACGCGACCAAATGCGATCAAAATTATCGCAATTCAACGCACGAAAATTAGTACGAAGGTCTTACAACGTTTTATGTACTGGTAAGAGTGATGCACGATTATTTAAGATCGTAAGATGAATCGCAGCTGTCTTTGCGTGTGTTTTGCGACCATGAGACTGTTGCTCAGCATGTCTCATGTAATCTTGCAACGTTTTACTATCATTGTTTAATTTATCACCTTCAATTGCCATGCTTTGCAACAGGTACATATATACCGTGTATAATTAAAAGCATCTTAACTATGTCAACTGAAGAGCGTCGGAAACGGGTGGTATATATACCCAGCCCTCTGACTCGCACGAGCATTCGTACTATGGAATGCATGAGCGCACGAGCACCGCACGTCCAATCGTTTTGTCGCACGTTCAATCGTCAGATTACCTGATCAGTCGTGCAATCCTATTGCATTATCTTACAACACTCGCTTTCATTCTACAACAGTCGCATATAGACGCAAGATATATCGCAAAATTTAATGCACTGCAAATTTCGTACGAACACTTTTTTCATATGCGATTATTTTGGCAACAGTTTACGATCCTAACCAAAATTATTCGGTTGCACGAATATTTTGTCGCTTCTGCTCGTGCGGCAATTGTGAAAGGGCCTTTACAAATATTTCATTCAAAACGTCTTTGCACAATAAATACACATGTGAAGTAAGAAGGCATAGCACCAACTAATCAAAAGTTATGGCCAAGGTTTGATAATTTGTTGTAAAAGTTTTTCTAACCTCCAAGACCAATTATGTAATTGCAAATTTTGGATCAGAGGCTGTGCTCTATATAAAATATTTAAAAATGCTTCAATTTTAGTCCATTTTCCAACGAATTTACGGGATATGGGGAAAATGGCGCATTTTGTGACGCCATAATGCATTGACTAGAGGAAAATTTACGTCATATTCAATAGATACATGGTCACACACAGTCTAAGTGATAAATACTGCATTTTCAACCTAAACTAAACAGTTCTGATTTTTCAGAAATTCTCAGGCCAAAAAAGGTTGTGAGTGGCTCTTAATCTTTGATGGTAACCGAAGAAAGGTCTTTTAAAAGTAATACACCTGTGAAATCTGAAAATCATAGCCCGGCCCTCTAAAAATTATGAGCAAGGTTAAAGTTATTGCAGACAAAAAGACAGACAGACGGACATTAAAAAACCATATGCCCCCAAATCTTTGATTACGCGAGTGTAAAAATAAATCAATTTTATTTACTAGTAAATATAAAATGAGAAAAAAATCTTAAAATATTCTTTATTGCAGGTTCGAATGGCCTACGCATGGAACTTTTAGCTTATTTTGTGAATTTGGGATCCGATATCAACGCTGTTAACAAAGATGGTTACAGCCCATTGAATACGTATGTTAAAGAAGCCGAACGACTGGAGGAAAAATACGTCATTGATTTAATATCTAAAGGGGCAGATCCAAATTGTTGCCCAGGAGGATGTGAATCTCCATTAACTAATGCATTAAAGAGAAAGAAATACGAAATAGCAAAACTTCTTTTGAAAAATGGAGCACTAGTAAATCATGTCAGTGAATCTGGTATAACAGCGCTTTCTGTGGCTGTCTCCCAGGAGAAGGCAGGTAAAGGTCTATATATCAAAAGTATGTATATTTTACAGATTTGTTCTCAGTTGAGAATTTTGAGTTACTCCATCTTCTACGTATTTATATTCTATTTTGCCTAAATCGTCATTTTAATCACTTCAATGTGTATCAGTTTTGCATTGGAGACGCAGTTTGTGTAACATCATTTATGTCATTTTTATGATCATAAATTTTCCAGTGATTTGGACTGTACATTTTACTTCATGGATAACTTTTAATAGTGAAGACAACTCTACACATGAATATCAAAGGCTTTTCTAGCGGTTACGTATACTGTGTCTGGTTTAAACAAATGTAGCTTGCAAGGAAATTAGTGGTTTGAAAAGCGCTTTATCTATTTACGTAGTATCTAAAACCAAGACTTTGTTTGTTTTAGGTATTTTTATTATGAAATGTAGTTATTTAATAAGCAAATACTTTGTAAAATGGATAAGACTTTCAAAATATTCATGAAATATTTCAAAGCATATCTCAAATCAATGTTCTAAAATTGGTCTGTTTTACAGTTAAAAACCCTCACATTGCATACAAATGAATTTCTCTACATTTCATACTTAATGGTCATTTTTATGAAAAATTTATCTAGATAATTTAATTTATTGGATAAAAGTATAATTTTTACTGGTTCTTTAATTTGTCTGTAAGACAAAACTTTAAAAAAAAAAAAAACACTAGCACATTTGCAAAAGTTTTACTTTTTCCAAACAGTCTACTTAATTTGAGTATGTTTTGAGAATATCTTAAAAAGCACTTTAGCAAAATACCTTTCCCTATCGCCCCATTTAGACGTTCATAAGTAAGGAAGAAATTTCTTCTACGACATTTACAAATGGTCTTTGAACACCCCTATCGAAATCATATTATTGTAGCATACAAATCAGAGCGAGAAGAGATGGTGAACTGTCTTCTAGAAGCTGGAGCTGATACCAACATCCTTACAGTGAAAACGGCCTCGCCACTTTGCAATTTGTTGTCAAGTCCGTTCAGTCAAGATACCATGACAATACTTTCCAACCTTTTAAAGCATAATGCCGATCCCAACATAGGTATAGAAAACCCGCTTTGTTTTGCATCGAAGGTACATCCAGATGCTGTTGAATTACTCTTGAAAGCCGGGGCCAATGTCAATAGAAAAGGATCAGACGGAAACACACCATTAGTAGAATGTTTATATTCAAAAAATGGGCGTAAGTAGACTAGAAATTCTCACAAATTATTCAGAGTAACAGATACATAATAAATTGATCTACTATATTGCTTTATATCTGAAGCACCATGGACTGTGAAATATGTGCTCAAATGGAGTCATAACATAGATTTCATAAATTCAGTGATATTAAAAAAAGAAATAGAAAAGAACCAGTCGTCGGATAGACCATTCCTTCATATTTAATCTCATAAATTGTAAAAATATTTTTAAGTCTTGACTTTCGTGCATTAACAAAGTAATTCAAATTAGTGAAATTAGCTCAGTTTTTATCCTAGATAACATGGTAAAGAGTTTGATAGCATTGATCGAAGCTGGAGCAGACACAAATATAGCAAGTAACTCTGGAAAATACCCTTTAGAAATAGTTCTTGAAAGCTCTGTTCTTTACGTGAATGCTCACTTTGTCGACATGAAATCATCACGTCCAAAGTTAAGGGCATCAATATGTTCTGAAGAACAAACCGCATATCATTTAAAAGAACTTGTGACGCTTTTACTTGACGCTGGAGCAAAGTGTGATCAATGTACAATGGGTAACGATTCCATGCTTCATACTGCTGTGGCCATTGGAGAACCCGATGTTGTGAAGTTGCTCATTACCCATGGCGCTGATGTTAATCATATTGGCGAAAACCAAGAAACACCTTTACATCGATATTTAAAGAAAGGTATTGTAAGTCATATAAGGTACAAGTTTTCATAAAAACCAAGTTTCATAAAAATTATATCATCTTACCTTTTATCAAATTTTATAGAACGATGCAAATTAATCGTGTAAGATTACATTTAATTTTAAAAATACAGAAACCCAGAATAAAAGCCTAAAAATAATTAAACCACTGACGAAAAAGGTCATCTGTATAGAACCAATAATGGACAGCGGCCTGAATACTGTATTGGATGTTCTACTGACATGTGAAGCTAACCCAAGTACAAAAGATGGAGATGGCAATATTCCTCTACGACTTGCTTTAAAAACAAGTACAGAAGACTTCCTAAAACTACTAGCGGCAGGAGCTGATCCTTTTTACGAAGAGGAAAATATGTTCATAGAATGTGTTTTTTGGGGTAATTAATCATATGATTCTTAAAGTAGCGCATCTTTCCGATATAAGAATGTGTTGAATTACAATACCATAATAATTACTTTGTTTACAATTATTTGAGCCTGTCTTTTGTTTTATACAAAAACTTATCTTTTCAGATGATCATTCATTTCTTAACATACTACTTCAGGAGAGAGGTGCAGAATACATTAGTGAGAATCTATTTTCCTCATTTTGGGAGATTCAAAGTGATGCTTCAATCTACAAAAATAGAGTTCATATTGCAACTGTGACAAAACAGATGTTAAGTTCGCCCCAGGAGCTTAACGTAGACGGGAAAAATCTTTCTGGCAAAACACCTTTACTCTACTTTTGTGACCAAAATGAAGGTTTTGTTGTAGAAAAGATTTTAGAAAGGGGAGCAGATCTAAATATTACCGACAATGAAGGACGAACAGCTTTGCATGCTTTATTTCATTCTAAGAGTTCCGGTAAATTTTAATAATCGTATTATTATTACTACTTATTGATTATGTTAACATGTCATCTACTTTTGCAAAAATCTTTGATTTTTTTCATCAAAATATACATTATTTTTTACCCACTTATCTAGAATTATTGATTAATTTACCCGTTAACCTTGTATTATTTATTCGCAGTTTGATTTCTATAAGTTTGACAGTTATCTTATAAATATTAAGAAATGTTCAGTTCCAGATCGTAAGAATTCAGAATAAGACAGTCAGGTTTCTGCCATATTTCTGCTGCCATGATTTAGCAATATTCGATCATGAAATAAGCAATTTGAAATATGAATGACGCAAACAGTTTTTTTATTCGATAATTATCTTAATTTTCAATTTGTAGATACGGATGCGAAGTACCATATCCTTACACTATTGATGAAGAGGAACCCAGATGTGAAAATTAAAGATGCGACTGGGCAAACAGTTTTCCAGAAAGCACGCATGGAATACCAAGAAGTTCAACATACTTTTTCCATGTACAAACACACAGAGACAGACTACAAGTGGTTGTCAGTTCTTATGAAAGAGATGTTAAATGCTGGGGAAAATTGTGAAAAACCTCACCTTAGTTCCTTACTATTGCTAGCATCACAGAGAGTACACTTTGGTTTCATGACGTCGTTGGTCGAGAAAGGAGCACATTTGTCAGACGAAATAAATGGAAAGGGAGTTTTACATTTGTGCTGGCCACGTCGATACCAATATGAAAGTAATTTATTTTATGCACAAAAATTAACTATTTTTCATCACCTTTAATTTTTTTAACTACCTTTTATTCTCCGCTCCTGTGGATTATCCTTTGTATTTTCCTTTAGTTCCTGCTTCTGTAGCACGAAAAATAAATATAACAAAAAATTACAAATCTCCAAAAGCTAAAGAAAATCAGATATGTGAAAACATTAAATTATGACCCCTGCATTCCCAGAGGAGGGACTCGGTGTTTTAAAGGCGTAATCATCTACTGTCGGCTGGTCACTTCCGCTACGATCCCTGTGATATTCAATTGTTAAAAAAGCTGAACATAATTCGTAAAAAAAACCTGTTCGCCATATTTGATTGGATTATCTTTATATTTGAGGGCCCTTATATAAAGCCGCTCACTTAAATAGTCACTGTTAAGTATAATCAATTGTAATCGGTGTAGATTGACGTATACAATACAGCATTCAGTACCGACAAAAAAATTGTGTATACTTCTTCTAATACAGGTGAGTAAGACACCAAAAGAACTTACAACAGTTGCACAGGTCAGTGCGGTATACAAACACAAATGAAATGTCATGTAACTGCAATAACGTGTTTTTAAAAAAGGTAATGCAAGATAACAAGCCCAAACACGGGTCGCCATTTCACGCCGATATGACGATCAATTATTCTGGCGTAACGAATGCGAAGAGTATATCATGATGCTGATATCGTAGAAAGTAATATTTAAAATGGCATATGCCTACTTACAAGTTGTGTTCAGCTTAAAATTACAGACTTAAGATTACAATCGGTCAAGGATGACGAAATTTGCTGTTAAGTTCGAGAGTAGGGTCCAATTTTTTTTGTTGTGTTGTATTTTAGAGAAAATTAGTTTTTCGGTACTTTAGATTGAAGGGGATGACTAAGTGAAACTGGGGGCTTAACCAATAAAAAAAAAGGTTAGCCCCATTTTCAATGCCTATATTATGTCTATCGATGTAAAAAGAAACCTGCCTCCCGGTTCTAGCGCCTTTCTGGGATACCTATCGAAGTATAGTGTACATGTGTACAAATTTATGGAAATGGGATGCCTACTCTAGGAAGAGAAATTACAGTGATATTTCTATTTTTTGTAACTGTGTCAACATTGTAAAGAAAATAATTATTATGTTTCTCACAGTCTGTTATCCGAGAAGCGAGTCTAACTGAATTTGAACAAAAATACACGAGGAGTAGTTAAGTTCTAGAAGCAGTGGCAGAGACGTTTTTCAAAAATCTATATTACGAATTTTGTATCTTGCTATAATCTACATACCTACCAAGACTTCCTTATGTCTGAATAGTAGAATCAAGAGAAATTGTTTACAGACCGAGTGATGGACGATTGATATCTTACTAATGTACTAGCTCTATTAAAAATTCATTGTTTAATTTAAATTTTTAAAACTTTCTTATGAAAACTTGTTGCAAATGATTTTATAGGTTAAACGTTTTTGCCTTATTTAAATGACACATTAGAAGTTTCATTACTTGAATATATTGTGGGTATATGTGAAAATGCATTATGATGGTGTTACTAGTATGTCAATATTTTTTTCAGGAAGACGGGATGTATCTTATGAAGATTGTGTGAATTTCCTAAGGATTTATAAAAAACACGGAGGACGCTTAGATGAAGTTGACAAGGATGGGAATACTCCCCTTATGCTATTTCTGAAGAACGGGATTAACGACTTCGACGGCACTCAGAATAAAATGGTGGATTTGAGGGACGAGATAGTTTCACTTCTTGCCTGTGACAAATCGACAGTGAGAAAACATGACAGCAAAAGGTTATCAGCCATACATATTGTTTCATCGAAAGGATGGTTAAGCACGATGAAGATTTTAGTGAGTAAGGGAGCAGATATTTTTGAAAAGGATGACACACAGAACACATGCCTTCATCTTTGCATCGACGAAGGTAAATTGTGAAATTTCTGTTAGAAATTATAATTTTAAGGATAAATGGGGGTGATAAAAAAGATACTCTTTTGTTTACATGTGAAACGAAGTTTCGAATTTAATTGAAGATTGTTCAACAACGTCAAGTCCTTAAAAATTACAATTCATCTCAAGTAAAAATAAATAATTAATAATACTCTTTCATCAAGTTGTCTTAGTTTATGCGAAATAGAAAGCATCATGTCTATTTGAATTATGCTGAATTCGATCTTAAAAATTTTTCCGAATAATGTATTAATCTGGTCGCTTCAAGAAGACAGTTCGCAAAAAAAAAAAATGGGAAAAATACTAATAAGCTGATTTTAATTGATTTGAATTGATAAAGTCAATTTTCATTGATTTAAATATTATGGACCCCCTCCCCCTTCACGCCATGATTGACAAGATTAATATATAATAGTGTACATTATTTGAGCTGTAAATATCTTGCGTTATTTTTTTTCAAAATGGGTGCCCTGTATTTCTGATAAGTAACCATAACAAAACTTCTAGTGATTGGTATACGAAGCAACGAAAACAAAAAATATGTTCTCCTTCAACTTAGAATTTTCATGTAGTTCGGTGGTCTGAAATAATTGAGTAGACCACGTGGGTGCAATTTGATCTTTTTAAATATCGCCGTATGATTAAGCTGTGAACGTTGCAAGACTTCTAAGCAGCGCAAAACCACAAGATTTTGCCATAAACTTATTACTAGTATTTACGTGGCTTCCTTTACCACAAGAAATTCCCTTTATTCCTTTTTTTACTGAAATTGAGATCTTCCATGAATTTTGCCATGTTGTGGCAAGACATTTCGACCCAACGCGCTTTGAACTATACTTACAGTGTATACTCTGACTCTCTCTCGCCTGTGTCTCTCTTATGGTTTCGTTCTCTGGTCTTTCATCGAATTTTTTAGATCGACATACTATAGAAATGTAGCGATCGGCTATCTTCACTCCTTTCAAAAAAAAAATTCTAAACCCATGCTCCTTTAGGCAAAACATAAAAAAAACAAACAAAGTGAAAGATATGTCTACTTATTTTGAAAAAAAATAATTACAATTTTATCAATTATCAATTTTATTTTTACAAGATCATTAGTTTTATACATTCATTTTAGCTCCAGATGAATTCTTGCATGACATGGTCGTATACCTTGTTGAAAATGGAATAGCAGTAAACCAACTGAACAATAAAGAGCAAAGTCCACTTTTTACGTTGGTTGCAAGAGGGGCTTCTGATGAGTTAAAACCCGTCACTACTGTTGAATACCTATTGAAAAGTGGTGCTCTTCCAAATCAGCATATCAAAAGGAATAACCCTCTAGTAGCAGCGATTCGCTCAGCAGATATTAAAGTTATTGCTCTTCTGCTGGACTACCACGCGGACGTTAATGATATTGAAGATGGTCCAACAGCTTTGCATGTTTTCTTCAGATGTTTTCGCGACTACAAAGGAACAGAGAAAGGTAAATTGATAAACATTTTAACATTCATTGTACAGAGCACGCAAATAAAAAATGAGGAATAATTTTATAAAAACAATACTGTTGAAGACAAAGAATATAATATGGAATCTATTTTAAAATACATGTACATTCTTTAATCATAAGACGCAATCAAAGAAATTAAGCATTTCTGTGTTTGTTAACTGGGTATAGTCCAGAATAAATCTTTGCAAACTACATTACAGATATATTTTTTTATTTCAGTTTCATGGAAAGTTATCTATTGTTCTTTTTTAAAACTTTTTTCCACAAAAAGAACATTGACAGAGATATTGAATAATTTTTGTAACAGTCATGATGTAGTTGGCATTGATTTTTAAAGTCTTCGTAAAAAAAGATCTCAAAACAATTACCATTTGTTTTAGCTATTAGATTGAAAAAGATTGACGAAATGTTACGTGAGTAATAAGCTGAAATTTAGATTTTAAAACCCAGAAAGATGAGCTAAAATATGGAATCGTAGCATGTAAGAATTCGGTAAGAGAAACCCTTCTTGCATTTCTTCAGGCCTTTTGACTATTCCTCAAAAATCAATTGATACTTCAGATGACATAGAGAAAATGATACAAAGAATTATGGAAATGGGAGCAACAGTGAATAACAAAGATTATAAAGGGAGAACAGTTCTTCATCTTGCCATCAAGGCTTTTGGTGCAATAAACAATAAATGCAAACCTGAGAGTGTTATACAACAGCTGCTTGATTTTGGTGCTGATGTAAATGCTGTAGACAACAGTGGACAGACTCCTTTGAGCGTAATTTGTGAAACTGGAAGTCTTGGTAAGTAGTTCTTTATGACTGTAAAGTTATAAAGTATTCGTAAATATTACCAGCTCCTCAAAAATCATAAAGCGAAATGAAGCAAAATTCCCTGCTACTAAGCTTACTAATTTAGTTTACTTTTATTATCAAAATATATCCTCCTCTTGTTTCTGTTTTTAACATGCCGAGCCCTCCGTCACGTTTTTTACTCGAACGCACATATTGCTTATATTTCAAGGCAGTTACCATGTATCTTGTTTATCCTGCAACATATTTTTACATCTGACCTCCAAAACGAACTATTTTCAATCCGCTTCAGGCACATCTCTGCAGTTGAAACTACGATGTCATGGCGTAAACATGTATACATGCCGTCACAATGCTTTTAGAATGTCGGAATACATTTTTGAGTTATTGCTTGATCATGACAAGGAGCACACAACGGATGTGACCGGTCAGTAGGGGAAGCTCACTCTCCCATGTCACCTGATCCCACCTCTTATGTTTTGGAGGCTCGTATTTGCTCTGCTCCAATTTTGTATCGCTTATTGGACTTTTGAGCATGAATATTGTTCGTTATCTCCATATGTTCCATGTACTATGCTATACTAGGGCATTGACCGAATAAAGCTTTGGTTTTTATGTTTACCTTTTTAAGTCAATCCAAGGGGTAGTTGCAGGATAAAATTTTGAACATGTATTTAAGATTTAAGTTATGTATAGTAATAAAAAAACTTTTAGAACATCGGAACCAATATAAGCTAGGGACAGGCATTATTTTAATACCATAAGAAAAAAGTCTTTATTAATATAATTTAAACCTAGTGTATTTCCTTTTCATTCAAATTTTATACAATAAAGTCCTAAACAGTGACTTAGAAATTATTGTAAGAATATAAAGGCGATGCATAAAGGTGGATTTTGAACATGATTCAATTTAAAATTTCTATTCCCTTACATTTTATAAATATTTTCGTATTTATAATCAAAATGTGTCCAAAATTATGTACCAGTCCAAGCATCATCTTTATATCATTTGTCCTTACATTTTAAAAAAAAACATTTAGTGTTGCTTCACATTCATTCAATTCAAATTCCCCTACTATAGTTTACAATGAGTAACTTATAGTTTATCATCGTTCATTATAATGTGCTGTAGTAATTTATAGTTTACTATTGTAAATCACTTTTTGTTATAGTAAATAAAAGTATTTCAGATTAATTTATATAATGTTCTCATACATGCAAATTTTTATATTAAATGGAAATATAATTTGTATTTTACATTCCACATTTGCACTAGTATTATTGAATTTTAAGGTTTTATGGTAAACATTCAAAAGGAAAAATCCATAGTAAATCAAGTTTAAAAGCACATCATTAAAATCAATATCCCCGGGGGTAGGGCGGGGCCACAATAGAGAATCCAAGCTATACATTCAATTGATTGATTGTTGTTTTACCTTCCATTCGAGATTTTTTCACTCATTTAGAGATATCACATTATACTGGTGAAAGGCTTCAAATTTTGACCTTTACTCAGCACTTACAACTATTTAGCAGTGAGTGATCTTTTTTGTGCCAACGCTTGTCGTGAATTGTCTTGGTTTTTAAGGTCTCATCGGAAAGACCCACCATTTTTACTTTAAGTGACAAGTGCACAGCAAAGGAACTGTTGTTACAATTTTTTTTCAAACTCACGACCTCCCGATCACGAAAAGTAACATTAATAGATAGGGAAAATCTTTTAAAAATCTTCTTCTCAAGAACCACTGGGCCATAAAAGCTTAAACTTGTATGAAACTATCCAAATATATTATATATTTTGAATTGTACAAATCATGACTCCTATAGATAAGGTGGGGTCACAATTCGTATTACAAGGGAGGAACTCTGGTAAAAAAAAAAAGTATGGACAAAGTTACTCAGGTGAGCAATGTGACGCATGAGGCTCTTGTTTTTAGTTACAACGTTGTAATAAATTGAAGTTAAACTATAGAGTTTTATTGTTTTGTTTTGAATGTTTTATTGTATTCAACAACTAGGGAACGGACACAAGTTCATTTTTGATTAATGAAAATATGAAGTTATACATGTTGTCCCAGATTAAACTAGAATTTTAAAGACAATTTATATTGACTTTTTGATATGTCAATTCTGTTTTAGGTTCTGTTGATCAAGCTTCTTTGGGGTGTTTTTTACTATCGAAAGGAGCGGATCCAAACATCGACTTTGCATTGAATCAGTGCATGCGAACTATTGATTTTAATGGTTTGAGTGCAGAATGGAAAGCTTTCATACAATCTTTGATACAAAATGGAGCTGATCCAAATCTGTATAGAGATAACAAGCCGCCTATTTTAATGGCAATTAAGTCAGGACACCAAGATATAGTAAAAGTACTTTTGGAAAAAGGAGCAAATATTCACTCGTGTGATAGAGATGAGAACACATGTTTACATTTAGCATGCGACATAAGTAAATATTAAAGCAGTTTTTAACTTTTTTCAGCAATAAATTATTTTAGACTTTTGTTCTATTTTCAATCCTTAAAATCAAACTACTTATGATATTTTTCATTAAAAGTAAACAAAAGTTTCCTTTGAATTTTTTTTAGTACTGTAAAAATAGTTTTCTCAGTATTATACTTAACGTTTATTGCTATTACAAATCAAGCGCTCTTATTTATCTATACGAACCTCGTCTGATTTGAGTTAAATATCATTGGGAAAAAAGCTAAAAATCATATTAAAGGTAAACATTAATTTTTACTTTTTAAATCATTTAATCGTTTTATTAGAGGAAGAGTCTTCAAAGAATGAAATAGCATCACTTGTCCTTGAGCATGGGTGCAGTGTAAACAAGCCAAATAGATATGGAATAATACCATTATCAAATCTTGTAAAAGGGATGGCAGAGAATACAGAATCCATGAAAATTGATCAGACAGAAACGATGACTGTTGCAAAAATTGACCTCTCATTGTTTAATAAATTAATTTGTGGTGGAGCTGAAATGGATCCTGCTACACAATCCACATCATTGTTAGTAGAACATTGTATCTATTTTGATTCATTATTATCATCCTCGTCAAAGAGATAAAGTTCTTAGAATTACTTCTTTATTCTTTTAAGCAAACTATTTTAATGAAAGAACTAACTTAACTAAGAGAGTCATTTAAACTGTTGTATTTTAGAAACTACTACAGGAAATCGATACTGGCTACCTTATTGAAAAAAGGTTTCTTTGGGGCTGCGGTTACCTTACTAAAATGTGGATATAACTACAATCTTGATAAAGACTTTAAATCCATGGACGTTTCTCATTTGGAAAGTTCAACAATTTTAGTAGAGGGGAAAAGGTACAAAAGAATTGACTACGAAGAACAGAAAAATGGATTTTTAAATTTTCTGAAGACATCTGAAGTGGAAGAAGAATCATCCCTGTCATGTTTGTGCAGAAATACTATACGATCACATTTAGTTGATGTTGGACAAGGAGCCGAGATAGAATCTAAGATTATGGTACTTCCTATTCCTGAACGAATTAAGACGTATTTATCTTTAAGGGAAGATGTGCTGGACTTTGAACAAATACAGATAGAAGAAAATGAAAGGTAATAAACTATTTCTTCCAAATTTTGTCTTTGGACAGAGCTATATGGCTGTGAATTGCACTTTTCCTCTGAGTAAAATAATAATAAATAATAAAACTTAAATAAATAGATAAATAATAGATGTTTATTATTTTGTATAGTTTTTTTCAAAGGCATTGTCAAATATAGAAGATTGATGCATAAATGAAAGGATATTTATACTGATGAATATTCCATCCTCAGGTACTAATATAGGGACCAGTTTTACTCAGATGTATATATCATTAGAAGAATAAGGAAACACAACCTCCAATCTGGGAGTAATTTCTATTTGGAATATTTTTTAATGGTTTTAAAGCATAGTTTTGTGTTCTCCAACCTTAGTATTCATATTAATCTTTTAATAATGGAAAAGGTTACTATTGTTTTGTGTATTATGCCCAGGGGACTGGGTTATGAAAGGGAAAAATGAAAGTAGGAGAAAGGGGTGGGAATGGAGAGGGGATAGATGGAGAACAGAACACTGAAAATAATACGAGAAAACGATTACATAGTGAAGATGGAGAATGAGAAAGATTGAGATGGAAATGATAAAAAATTAAAGTATATATCAGGCAACGAAATTCCAGGGAAATACTCGCTAAATGCGAGTTGAAAATCAAAATCGCGAGTTCAAAATCACCAGTGGTCGCAATTTTTTGCTAGTAAAAAAATCGATCTTTTACCGGATATTCCGGGTTTATTCGTAGCCTTTTGAAGTCTACTTTTGATCTTATGCTTAGAGACGCTTTATCGAATGAGTATCAAGACGCGTTGCAAAGTACATGCATAGCGTGGATCGAAAGGCCAAGGCGTCTTGATGCATGATCAATCATGCATTCACTAAATAAATATTTTAAACCTAATAAGCGCACTTCCGAATCCCAATCAGCTGTTTCAGATGTAAACAATAATGACCTCGTCCATGTTAACTCAACACAGGAAGGTGTTAGGGTCACTGCTTCTGTCAAAACCGTTAGAAAATGGGAACGTGGGTTTCACATTTCACTAGACTTCATTGCCACGGATCAAATTGTCTCAACTATACAGTGTATCATTCATTTCTTTGATGTATAGATTAAGTGTAACTTGTCTACCAAGTCATATTCTGAAATTGGATGCATGTTACATGTATATATTCTTACAAAAACATTAAGAATAATATGAAAATTCGAAATGCAGGCACATTTTAAGTGTTCCCTGTCAAAACAAAAACAAAAGGAGAGGTATGACTGTATCTTTAATTTAAAAAAAAAGTAAACTTTGAAAATTGCTAGTAAGAATTTAATTTTGCTTGTAGGAAAAAAATTCACTAGCTAAAATTTGCTAGTGGTTAAAAAAGTTAATTTCGATCCCTGTATATCAACAACATGATTTTGGAATTTATGAAAGGAAGGGATCTTGACTTCGATTACTATGTATTTGTTCGTTTCTACATATTTCCAACGTCTATCTTAACTGTTGGCTAAATTGTCCTGTTGGAGATTTATACTTTCTTCATCAAGTAATGATTGATTTATTGTCAAAAATTGCTCACAGTTCAAGTAGGATAAGTGATTTTTTTCTTTTTCTCTGTTTAGTATTCAAACACCAAAGCTCTTAACAATCATTTCTTAATATAAATGGCCTATATTGTTTTTTTTTCAGCAGTGCAATGGATGTGAATTTACAGACACTCCTGGGTGACTACTATGATATTTACATGAACCCGTACGACACATATTACTCAGATGTGGCATATTATGGTAGGGATGATTCTGACATTGACGAATACATCCATTACTACAGAGACAGTGATTCAGATGACTACTACTATTAATCAGCAGTATATTAAAGTTGAGATGTAGAATGTTTTTATATATTCAAATCATTTAGATTTTTTGTCACCCAATGCCTTTCAATTTTTAATTCAGTGAAGATTCGCATTTATTGACTTTTTAAAAACTGTTTTCATTGTAATGCATTCTTTTCATTCTTTTTTCATTTATTAACTGGTCAAGAATAATCTTTCTTGGGCTACATAGATAACAAAGTACAGAATCGATTTTTACATTTCAATTTAAATACTGTAAAATCACATATTTTCGTGGGGTCAAATTTGCGTGGTTTGAGGAAAATCTCTTGGTTCGTGGAGATTTGATTTCGTGGATGATGAATTAATGAAAACTTATGTATGTAACATTTTACATTTCATGGTGTACATGAATTCGTGGGTTTCATCATACCTCGAAAACAACGAAAATTAAAACCCCACGAAAATTTGTGATTTCACAGTAGTGAGAGAAATGTATATAAAAAATTTGAACTGATGTGTAAATAAATAATTTCTAAAGATAGACTGTAAACTGTGTCGTTATTTTGTTATATCTTAACAAGCATTTTTCTTTTCACTTTATACTATATTTCACTTTAAAAATGTTTGTTCAAAGTTTTTCGTTATTGAAAAGGTTTTTTTTTTTTTAAGTTTAAAAGTTTTTTTGTTATTTCCACATGTTTCACAAATAAGTCCAAAAGCCGTAATTTTCTTAATAAAGTGAAATGGGTTCGTTTTATACGTAAATGAGGACAAACACCATGCTGACGATATAGATAAGTGTATTCAACAATCAGTATTATCACAGCTCTGAAAAATATATAAACAATCATAAATATTTTATAACGATACATGATCACTTGCCAGATAGCACGGTCAAAATAATAGTTATTGCCCTTTAATTGTGCTTATAGATAAAACATTAAGAGTTGTTTTTCTTACTCAATAATATGTACAAAACATAAACACTCTGGAATTTATAAATAAAACAATCAGATCAATTATACTGAACTTTTCCAGAATAATATAAATATATGGACAATATTCAAAATAATTGAAAATATATATGTACATCATACCTATATGTGATATATATGCATTCTCCAAATATACAATGAAGAGTGAACTCTTACTCAGTGATCTGTATATAAATAAAATACAACTTTACTGTATTGCTCTCAAAAATATACAACACACTGATATATGAAATCATTACTTTTCATTATTTACAAAGTCATAAAATAATCACAAAGACTGAATTGACCTCATTAGTGACAAATATATGACGATATGTGCCAAAGCACTTCTAATTAGACATTGTCAAAAATGGTGACGTTGGGCGGTAATGTAGACCACCAAATTATCGAGCATCACACATATTTTTGCCCACACAAATTTCATATTTTGAAAATTTATTGAAATGTGCTGCATTGTATCTATTGTATGACAAATCTAATTTCACGAAACATATAATTTCAAAGTAGGTTATTGGCCATTTTTGTTTTTATGACAGTACAAACTATTCGGATTTTGTATAATTTTTCAGTAAGAGGGAAAAATTGCTTGACAAAGATCATTTTTTCTATGAATGTTTCAGAACAATATTTAAATATTTCATTGATATCATCATTCTAAAAATTATATCAAAATATTGATCTGGAGCAGGCCTGCGATCGATGACTTTTATTCAAAATATCGACGTAATTGTACACCTTTTTTCTGAACAAATCGTGTTAAATTTACGACATTTCCTGACGTCACAGCTTATGAAAATATTTGTGATTTGGGGGGAGGGGATATTGGTCATTACCATAAATAGCTCTTTTTTAGGAAAAAATGTCGATAATGATTTGTGCTCATTTTTAACTTCACAGTCATAGTGAAACAAAAGATATTGAAAATGTTCGTGTTTTCCTTGGATGACCCTTGCACTAACAAAAAATTTCTGAAGCACGATTGGCTACTGACAAATGATTTGATAAAACAAGGATATCAACAGTTTCGTTTTCGTTCATAATTTGCAAACTTCCATGGTCGATGCAATGACCTGTAAGCAAATAATCTCTCGTCATGTCGAATGTCGACCGACGTTATTCGTTCAAAATGTTCTAACGTATTTAAAGTTCAATTTTGTTGAAATTATGACTCGATCATCCCGAATTTAGGTTGGCCGTTTTAAGTGAGCAGTTTGCAATGGAATATATTGGAATTTTTTTCATAGGGCGGGACCACAATATATGATCAAAGTTTAGCATAAGAAAATTATACGCTCTGGTGAGCCATATGGCCACGGGTTTCTTTTTGTTCATTTGTTTATTGTTATTGTTTATGTAAACTCTAGGATGATTCTTATCAGTTTATTGATTTCAACAAATGTACAAATTGTAAAAAACAAACTTTTCATTAACCACCCTCGGTTTCGAATATTCTTTCTAAAACAAATAATTAATATCATAATTATTTTTTTCTGTTTGAACTAGAGTAAAATGTACCAGTTATAAAAAATGGTGGTTTTTTTCAAAAAATAGATTTTCACTAATTTATTGTTATTCCCGCTTTGATTTAATTTTTTTCATGTTCATACTAATTTTTCAAAAACCGCACATTGAATTGAGGTGTAATTTAAAAAATGAATCTTTTCGTTATTTATTAAAAGTTTCAATTTCTTAATTTTTTTTGTCTGCAGATTTTCTCACAGTCGGTTTGGATTATACATTTATTAAATTTAATTAAAACTTTACAAGAATCATCACCTCCAAGTCATCTTAAGAACCTTTCATTTCAAACTGACCACCTTAGCCTTGAAAATATTGTTTAAAAAATTATGTGTTATTTTCTCAGTTACCATTTTTGTCATTATTTCTTATTTTTTAGTAATTGTATCAAGTCAAAATGATTTGTGTAATGCTAGTATTGAATTGGGATGATTGTTAAACTAAATTCATTGCCGCAATGAAAAGAATTTCCTTAATATTTTACTCTTTTATTTTGGGTGCCATGAGCAGATGTTTATCATTTAGGACATTTTAGTAATTTCACAACTTTTCTTTCTTTTTTTTTTTTTATAGATTTTATTTTTACTTTCACACAAATTACACAAATACAAAACGGACGTATATGTAAATAAATATACAAGACAGTTTGAAATAGAGCAAAAACAAAAAAGAGATAATAAAACCTAGTGTGAAAGTTTATGTAGAGAGAGAGGGAGAGGAAGAGGAAAAGGGAGGAGAGAGAGAGCAAGAAAGTGAGAGGGAGAAAGATGAGGGGGCAAACATTTTATTGAGTAAGTAACGGTAAAAAAAAAATTTTTTTAAAGTTTTTTAACTATTTCCTGCCAGTGTCTTTCAAATTCATCTTCATCTCTTCAGTCCTCTCTGCGCCGTCTGGCACTTGAGGCGACTTCAAATTCATCATATTTACAATTTTTTAACAGAAGAAAATTTTCTACTCTAATTCTTTCAGTAATAACAATTTTTAAAGTCTCAATGTTTAACTTTATAGTTTGGGCATACTTACTTGCAAAAATATATTGTTTTATAATCAGAATAAGTAGATTTTCTAACTTGTAGGAGTTTCTGTTTATGAATTTACCAAATAAAATTGATTGCCTATCAATACAAACAGACCTGTTCACTTTTTGCAAGATCCATTCCTCAATCTCTAACCATACTTCTTTTACAACAGAACATTCAACAAAAAGGTGATCAATAGTTTCAATATCCTTCTCACAGAAGGAGCATAATGGTGAATCAACAAGTCTCAATTTGAAAAGATGGCATTTAGTAGGAATTATTCTATGTAAAATTTGGAATTGTAACCATTGAAGTTTTGATTCTTGGGTTGTTTTGAAAGGTAGCTCAAAAATTTTTTCCCAGTATTTTTCACTAAAATCTTCCCCATTTTCACTCCATTTTATAACGGAAGTTATATTGCCCTTTTTATTCTTAATGAGAACATTATACATATCTTTACACCCTTTTTTACTCTTTAAGAAAATTCCAAGGCTGGATGGAAGCAGTGGTCTAGGAGTTGGCTTTATTTCATAATTCTTAAAACATGATAATCTCTTTCTAATTGCTGTTCTTAGTCCTGCATATTCAACATAGTTTGTATTTACCTTCATATTTTGAATGAAATCAAAACTATAAAAGTTTCCATTTAAATCTAAGAAATCATTGATAAAAACAAAGCCCGAATTAAAGTAACTTTTGATAAAAATTGACTGGCCACCCATGGTAACATATGGATTATGCCATATGTTGTTCTTGGAGAGGACTTAAATCAGCTATAGCTTTAGCCTGATTTACTTTAAACCAGCTAGAGAATACATCTTAACAAAACTTATTTTTCATGGTACTACTCAGATTCTTAATAAAGTCAATTCCAAACAGCCAAAGGTGACTTGTACTTATTCCCAATTCTGCTTCAAGCAATTTAACCCATTTTGCACTTGAACACATTACCCTCCTTATCCAACTAGATTTCAATGATGTAACAAAATTTTTATAGTCTATCATTTGTAAGCCTCCAAATCTATGCTCTTGAATCAGTACATTTTTCATCTTTTGAGAATTTTTTACTTCCAATCCAGACTAGTTTAGTTTTAGAAAAAATTATTTTTAGACCTGAGATTGATGCGACATAATCTAACACTCTTGTAATTCCATCCAATGAGCTTGGAGAGCCATCAGAAATAACAGATGTATCATCTGCATATTGTGACAACTTGTATTCTTCACCATCAATAGCTATACCTTTTATATCCTTATTTTTTCTAATTAGTATACCTAGAATCTCTGCACAAAGAAAAAAAGGTACGGTGAAATAGGATCACCTTGTCTACAGCCCCTTTCAGGGCAGAAATACTAAAACACTATCCCATTTTGAATAACACAGGATTTTATATTATTATAGAAACATTTTATCCAATTTCTAATTGACTGACCAAAATTAAAAAAACAAAGTGTTTGATGTATGAAGTTCCATGAAATGGTATCAAACGCTTTTTCAAAGTCGATAAACATTAAGAGACCAGGTATATTTCTCAACTCCGCTTGGTGCATAATATCATATATTAGCCTAATATTTTCACCAATAAATCTACCTTTAATAAATCCTGTTTGGTCTCCATGTATTAACTTATCTAAGAATTTTTTAATTCTTTCAGCAATACACCCTGAAGCTAATTTATATAAAACATTTAAGAGGCTAATAGGCCGCCAGTTTTTTAAAAATTGTTTTGGCTTACCAGTTTTCGGAATACATGTTATTACGCCTAATTTGTTTGGTTCGGAGAAAGTTTGTTTTAAGTATGAATCATTGATTGCTCTTGTGATAAATGTGCCAATATCCATCCAAAAAATTTTTAAAAATTCACAAGTAAATCCATCTGGACCTGGGCTTTTATCATTTTTCATTTCTTTAAGAAAGTTTTTGTTACAGGACCCTCTATACTTAGAGATTCTTCAAAAGACAGCTTTGGGATATCATTATATTCTGATAATTTT